ATTTGTTATAACTTTGCTTTAATTTTGGGGAAAGTTTTTTAAGAGACAAAGTTAGAGGAAGTTAGTAGTTAATTTTTCTGTGGGTGTGAGACTCATTTTTGTGTGCATGTGAGAGACCATCCCAGAGAGAAATGGAGAGTTCCGATGAGCACCTTCCGGTGAGGTTGAGATATTTTCCGGTAAGGTTCGGAATCCCTTTTATATGCCGATTTCGGTGGGTGTTGAGGCTTAAAGTGACATCGCCAGCCTCCACCTTGAGGCGTAATTACCTCGGGTCATTTGCACCATGGGCTAAGCCGAAAATCAATGTTCTTAATGCCGGTGAAAGAAGTTCAAAAAAGATGTCTTGGAGCTGCCGCACCGGAGGAGAAGCTGTCCACCGGGCTGTTCGGAGCTTAATCGTTGGAGCCGCTGGTCCGACTTGAGTACGTCGTCGGTCAATTTCATAGTTGATAGAGCTTGGATTCTTGCGGCTGGAACTTTGTTTGTAGTTTCTTATAATTCTCAATTTCAGGTTTATCTCTTTTTGATATATATAATTTATTTTTCGATTCAGTTTAGTTTAATTGGAGTGTTATTCGATTATTACTTATGCTAATATTAAATCGTATTTTCGTATATAAGGTATTGTTCGAATAATCCAAATGATTCTGAAATAAATTCACAATATTTAATTTTCTTACTATAATTTTAGTTTTAATTCATGTCCCTTCAATTTTGCAGTTTTATAAACTCACATCTACTTCTGCTTGAAATTTTCATTAATATTAAAAATTTTAAATTTAACATAACACTCATCATTTATCATTAAATATATATATAGATATATATATATTCTCTGTACTAATTAAAAATATTTATTTTTATCATTTCTCATATCTCATTCAAAAATATTAATTTTCTATTAAATTAAAATAATCACACATTAATATCAAAATAATATTTAATTATATAATCTATAAGCTATCATTACACGTAATTAATGTTTACATAAAATATATTTTACAAAAATATTAAAACATCTTACGCACTTTCACTAACTAATAAAATATACTCCCTCCGTCTCAAACACCCTACAACATTTCCTTTTTTGTTTGTCCCAAACTTACTGCAACATTTTCAAATTTAGAAATAATTAATTATATTTATATACATATATTAATATACGCTTCACTTTATATCATCACATCACTCAAATAAAAAAACCAATAATCATTTATCTCTCCAATTACATCACTTAATATCCAACTTATCTCAAATTATCATACTTAATATTCCCCACCTAAATTCCCGTGTCAAACACAAGTGTTGTACGGTGTTTGAGACGGAGAGAGTATTGCTTTTGTTTGAAGGATTTTGGTGGACTTTTACTATTCATCCCATTTTTTCCCCCAAAAAACATCAAATCAAACACCTATTTTTCATTTTTTATATTATACTAAAAATCAATTTTACATTCAAAACATCACATCAATACCTATTTATATCACATCATACAACTATTCAAATTCAAATTTTTTATTATTCAAATCCCAACTCAAAATCCAAACCTCACACCAACTTACATATTACTCCTTCATTTTCTTCCCTTGATGCACAACAACCGCACGAAGTTGGAACATTTGAAATGAGGCAACTACATATGCAAAACTAACATATTTTTTTCCAAAATTTATTTTTGGCATGAAAATTGATGTGGATAATACTAAATAAAATAATTAGATAATTAAGTAATGTGATGGAAGATATATTATGGGTAATGGGATAGAGATAATTAATAGTATAAAAATTAAATATAGTTAATTATTTTTTATTTTAAAAATATTGTAAAATGATAAAGATAAACCCCATAAAAAAATACTATTTAATGGAAGATAATGCAATTCAAAAAAATGAGTACTTTATAATTATATAAATTCATTTCTTATTTACGTATTATATAAAAATTAATACTTTTTTTATCCACCAAATTTTACGATTACTACAAAAATATAAATTTTTTATTTATAACAATAATTCTTGAGCACGTGTTTTTATTTATAACAATAATTCTTGAGGATTTATACATTTCAATATTATACTATTTATAATGTAAATATATCACCACTGTTTACTTACTCACTTAATTTATCAAAAAGTTTTCAATATAACATTCCACAGCGGGGTAGTAATATATTACTATCTCGGTTTCAGTACAACTGATATATATATATTTTTTTTGTTAATATTTATTACATTGAAACATATTTAAAAATATTAATTAACTTAATTAACTATATAATTGTTTAACAAAAATAAACAAATTCAATTTGTTTTTAACTACGTTATAACTTTATTTTTTCACCAGATACGTAGGCAACTTGGAATATAACTTCGAGTTCAGTCAATTATGCCAAAAAAAAAAAAAAAAGTATGGGGTCGGATTTGCTTTGTGATTTTTGGAGAAGTGTCTTTAGATAACGACAATGCTCTTCGAAGCGCTCTTCGTCGAAAGTCACTGATTTGGACAAATGATTCAATAGTGGTTGACGAATCAATGGAGTTAACATTCTTCGTCGTATGTCTGAGCCGGAGGAAGGATCAAAGCTTTCAAAGCCGTTGAGGAATTCGTCAAAACCAAGGGAAGGTCTTCAAAGTTTTCTCATAACTTCAAAATGTTCATCGCGTTTTTCACCAAAGCATCAACTCGGCCCTCTTCGATCCAAAAGTCAAAGGGATACGCCACCAAAAGTGTTATGGAGCACTAAATCCATCTTCTCAAAGATCAAAGGTGTGGATCGTCCAAAGAAGACATCAAATTCAAATCCGACGATCAAATTGCCCACACGGAGACCAAAGTAAAAACGGCAAAGCCAAAACAAAGATCAAAGCCGCGGATCGTCCAAAGAAGACATCAAATCCAAAGCTGACGATCAAATTGCCCACACGGAGACCAAAGTCTTCCGAAAAGCGGCAAAGACAAAGTAAAGATCAAAGTCGTTGATCGTCTAAAGAAAACATCAAATTGAAGGCCGACGATCAAATCGCCCCTATGGAGACCGAAGCTCTCCAAAAGGCGGAAAAGGCAAACCAGTGATCAAAGCCGCAGATCGTCCAAAGAAGACATCAAATCCAAAGTCGACGATCAAATCGCCTACACAGAGACCAAAGCTCTCCAAAAGGCGGAAAAGCTAAATCAAACATAAGCCTCGGATCATCCAAAGAGGACATCAAATCCAAAGCCAACGATCAAGTCGCCCACATGGAGACCAAAGCCCTCCAAAGTCCGGCAAAATCAACCGAAAACCAAATCTCTTCAGATCAAAGAAGCCATTGAAAAGTTGAAAAACAAATCGACCCGAAAGGAGAATCAAAGGACCCATTTAGAGAATAGGACCTGCTTTAAATTTAAATCAAATATAATTTGTACAAATTTTTTGTTTATTAAAAATAGCACAATTTTTTGTCCACGGATTTTAAGAGTCTCGAGGGGGCATTTTGTAGACACTAAAAATATATGTCTAAAATCAATTAAATATCTTGTATTTTGGAATAAAATAAAATTTCAATAAAATAAATATATGGTATTTAATTATGCACATATGTTAATTTTTGTACAATAAATATCAACCATTAATGCAAAAATCTGCTTAAAATGGAACATATCGTACAAATATTACGTGCATAAATAGAGTCATAATAAATTCTGTTGGTAAGTTCTGTCATGCTGACAGTTCTCTACGTGCTGTAGAACCGATTCAAGACCTCGTAATTAGTTGTTCCCAATTGTCGATGGAACCAACCTCAAGTCGATATACCAGTCGAAGGGGTTGCCCTTTAGTGACCGCATAAATTGTTTAACTAGGAGGTCTTCATATGTTCCAGCATTGTTGTATGTCTCGACAAAGTGCACTATATGTTGTTTTGGGTTGCCTTTGCCGTCAAATTGTTGAAACTTTGGTGGTTGATAGCCCGTCGGCGTTTTGAGGGCGTCAATCCTTGTAGTGTAAGGCTTGGCGTAAGTGTGCGTCAGCCTTGAACTCCCTTCGAATTCTCTTTTGATTGCCGCTTTGTTTCGAGACTCATTCACGCCTTAAATGCTTTCCGTCAACTTAAAAGAGTCCCGAATTGGCATTTTGTAGACACTAAAAATACACGTTTAAAATCAATTAAATATCATGTATTTTGGAAGAAAATAAAATTTCAATAAAATAAATATATGATATTTAATTAATTTTAGACATATATTTTTAGTGTCTACAATAATATATAACATCATAAATCATGTATGACTCATTCAAAACCTTTTTATTCCTATCTATTTTTCAAAAAAATAAATGATTTTATCTATATTTAAAATTGCATATCCTTTATAAAATTAGTTTATTTTAATTATAAATAAATAAAAGTCTTTTTTATTTACTTGTATTATAGACTATTTTATTCTTATATATATTGCATATAGTATTTTTTATTGTCAAATTTAAAAATATTTAAATACATATTCTAATTTTTTAAAATCATACTATATGTTAAATTTATTTTTAAATTATTAATATTATTCATTACATAAAAAAAAAAAAAGTAGTACTACATCTGTCCCATCACATCAGTGCCATTTGTATTTTGGGTCATTGTATTTAACATTAAAAATATCATTATATTGTATAATTTACTCCACAAATATTATTATATTTGTATTATAAAAGACTAATAGAAGTATTTTTTTTCATTTTCTCTTATACTAAGTATTGATATAATAATTAATATTAAAAAATAATAAGAAAAAAACTCATTATACTCTTCTTATGGTTAATAGCATTAGAATTCAGTATTATTAATTAATTACCTAAACAAAGAGAGTAATAAAATATATTTGCATTATAATTGAACTTATAATATTTTATCATCTCGCAAAATCAATCTCCCAATCAACTTATGCTATCTGCTATTCCTATTAAGCTTAGCCTCCAAATTTCAACTTAATAATTCCACATATGAATTCATTCAATCAATAGAAATTCTCAAACACTACCGTACCCGTACCCCTTTCTTTTTATTATTTTTTTGATATTACAAATGACCACATAAAATCATGTCACTAATGCTAATAACAATACACTAATGAAAAGTGAAAAAAATAATAATAAATTATTATTATATTACAATAATTATAATTATAATAATAAATAATAATAACAATAAAAATATACACATCAAATTCACACGTTGTCCGCGGCGGTAGATGGAAAGAGAAGATCGGCACCGCACATCACCATCATCATCATCATCACAAGCACGAAATCAACGGCTGAGATCGCCCGATCAAATCTTCTCCAGCTTCTCGCCTTTGACCACCGGATTAGCCTTGGCGATCGCCTCCCTTCCCATGGCCTTGAAATCGAAGGTGCAGCCGTGCTTCTCGGCGTACCGGTGACCACCGCAGAACGTCAAGCCGCACCGGCACCGGAAACCGGTCAATCCGACCTTCTTCCTGCACGAAGAGCACCGATTCGTCGCCTGCGCTGCCACAACCGCCGGCGCCGCCGCCTCCACCTTATCGGCGAAGGAGGAGACCTCCGCCGCAGCGCTCGGCTGCGGCGCGGCCGGCGATGACGAGGAAGACGGCGGCGCGGAGGTCAAAGGAGGAGAGAATAGCGCGGATTCGCCGGATTTCTGGAGGCAGAGATCTCGATAGCATTTGGAGCACATACCTTGCGTGGCCGGACTGCCGAAGAATCCGCAGTTGTTGACGCATAAGCGGTGGCCTTCCGGCGACTGGAATCCGTGCTCTTCCGCCATAATCCGATCAAAGTAGGTCAAATTTGGGGATGAATATGGAGATTGGTCGGATCTGAAATAGGGATGGATGTATAAAGGGGAGGCGATGAGATGAATGGCGTGGGGAGGGTAGGGGAGAACTGAAGGATGGTTCCAGGAAATGGTACAAAAGGGGAAATGGAATTTTATTTATTTAATTATATTGGATGAGAATAAGAAAACAAGAAGATCAATAATAATAATAATAATAATAATAATAATAATAATAATATTAATAATATATTTTTCGTTATAATAAATAAATCGTCCAGTGGGGCGACAGCCTGGATCCGCCTAAAAGCAGCGTGAATTTTTGAGTCCCATTTTTGCTTTTACTTGTTTTTATTTTTAACTTGTTCACGTTGTGTTTGGTTTAAAGTTCGTAATTATAGGTACAAGTTTGGATTTATTTTTTACTTAGGGTGTGTTTTTTTTAATGGAGTTTAAAAAAATTTTGTGTGAATTTAGTATTAAAATAATATAGAATAAAATGTTTTCTATGAAAAACTATATATATATATTTTTAAAAATACAGATTCTAAAGAGTAAAAATTAAGATTTGGGATAAATAAACACATCCTATTTGCAGAAATAGGATATAAGATACACATAATTGAAAAAAATACTAAATACTAAATACTAGTCTCTCCGTTATCGAAATGTGTGTCCATTTAAAAAAAAGTAGATATTTTATTTTTAGAGTAAAGAAAGTAAAAAAATAAAAAATAAAAAATGAAATTTTATTTACTAAAAAATAAACGAGAATAAATTTTTTTATAACAGATGAAGTACTATATATATTTTATAATATGAGAATCCGTCCAACTCGCCACTACTTGACAAGTGCGCTTCGGGAGTTTAAATCTATGACCTTGCAGTTACGAGTCCAAATATTACTTCTATATATATATATATATATATATTGATGAGGTAAATATTACTATATTTTAAAATTATGTGTTTACTTGATGTTTTGATTTTGAATAGTAAAATTTTGAATTGAAATAGTTGTTTGATGTGATATAAATATATAATGATGTAATATTTTGAATGTAAAATTATATTTTAATGTAATAAAATAAATAAAAATTGAGTGTTTGATTTAATTTTTTGAAGAAAAAAAAATTTAAAATAGTAAAATCATTGATAAAATCTTACAAATAAACAGAGTCTTTGAAGAAATATTTTAAATTTTATTATTTGAATTTTACGTTGAAATAAAGTTCTCACAAAATATTTTATTAAATAATATTTTAATATCAACTCAAATCAAAAACCAAATTCAATATATTTCTTTCAATAGGTAATTTTAGCATATTTGGACTTGATACAAAAATTTAAAAAATATATATTTTATTTAAAAAATAATAAAAATATGGATATTTATGAAAATTTAAAGAAAATAAAAAGATATAATAATGTAAATAATGTATAATAATTATAGCTGTTGTATATAAATCTTGAATTGAGGTAATAGTTAGTAATTAAATTTTGATATTTTAACTTTATCTAAATTAGTAATGAAGTAAATTCAACCAATCACTACAAAAAAATATCATTTTGTAATGAAATTTTTTCTTCTTTAAATTTACTTTTTCCGTTACTAATGATATTAGAGACGGAATTAATAATGGAATTATGTTAGCTACATGATCATTAGGGACGGAATTTCGTTACAAATATACTATTTTTTTTGTAGTGAAGGATAAAAAGAAATTGATAATAAATTTAACGGTTAGAAAAATTTTCTAATATAAATATCATTTTATAGTTAATAAAATTATATATACATTTAAATAAATATATATGCATAATTAACATAATAATAAGATTTTTTAAATATAATGGTGATGGCTTGTTTGGTTCTGGCCAAACTAAAAATCAATATTGTTCAACTTATACGATTTTAAGTAAACATCCATTATTTTACATTACAAAATTTCATATCAAAAAATTTATTTAATCTAAAATTTAAATAATAAAGAAAAATTCAAATTCAAACCAAAACCTAACAAATGCGAATAATTTTAAAGGTATATAAATTCATTTACTTATTTGTAAGAAAGGGAAATAAAAATGAGTATCTTTAAAATAAATAAATAAGATAAAAAAATTATTTGTTTCCTTTGATAAGTTTGAGAAAATTTTGGTTTAAATTTGATATTAAAATAATGTATTATAAAATATTTTATGAAAAAAAATATATAGTTTATTCAATAAATATAGAGTCCAAATAATAGAAACGTTTTGGTGTAAAGAAACACACCCATAGTCAACTTAACGGTGAATACGTAACACTTATAACTAATACTTTAAAGTAAAAAATAATTATATTCTTTACTAACTAATACTTATAATTTTGAGTTTATTTTAGTTAGATTTGATTTGCAAATAATAATATTTTAATTTGAATAATTATTTTATATAATATAAATATATATTTATATGATATTTTAAATATTAAATTAAATTTTCGTTAAATATAATAATAAAACTATATATTTGATTTAATAAATTCATTAAGATTTGAATTTGAAGTTTTTATCTCTTTTTCAAAAAAATAAAAAAATAATTAGAAAGTTGACCTTTAAATAGTAAAAATAAATAGTAATAATTGTTCAATGTACTTGTAATCATAAGCTAAATTGTTTTTTTTAGTTTCGTAATTGGACCTTTTTATCATTTTAGTCTTGTAAGTGGAGCATGTCGCAAACTAATCCCATAAGTGAAAAAATTTCGTTGTTTTAGTCCTACGGTACCGGAGACGCCCATGTGGCTTGTCAGAAGTCACGTGTCCGCGCGGACACGTGAATTTTATTTAATTTATTTTAATTTTTTTCAATTGGACCAAATAAAAAAAATTAAAAAAGACAAATAAAATTAAAAATAAATTTTAAAATTTTTTTAAAAAAATTAAAAAATAATAAAATCCAAGTGTCCGCCAGGTGGCGCTGACCTGGCGGACACGTAGCCTCCGGCGAGCTACGCAGGCGCCTCCGACGCCGGAGTTCTAAAATAGCAAAAATTTTTCACTTATGAGACTAGTTTGCGACATGCTCCACTTACGAGACTAAAATGATAAGAGGGTCTAATTATGGAACTAAAAAAAATAGTTTACCCTAAAAAATAAATATATAAATTTAATTAAATTTCTGTTTCAATTCAAAATATTCTTTTACTATTTTCGTTTGTGTATCTATTTTCTTTTTTAGTGAAATTAATCGGTATCTATTTTCTTTTTTAGTGAAATTAATCATACTCTAATACCAAAATACCATTAACTTTTATTTAAATTACAAATATATCATTACACATACAATTACATTTTACAAAAAGTTAAATGACAAAAATATCCAAATCTTTACACACTTTCATTCTCCAATAAAATACTATATTATTTTTTAATCTACTACAAAAGCCCAAAAGACCTCTTTCAAATGGGACAGTGGGAGTTTATATTTTTGGAAAAAATAAAATTTCAATAAAATAAATATGTGATATTTAATTATTCATATATGTTAATTTGTGTACAAATAAATATCAATTATTATTGCAAAACCTGCTTAAAAAGAATGATATTGTACAAATATTGCGTGCATATGTAAGGGTCATAATAAATTTGACAATTAAATAAACTAATTTCGTCAATAAATGAACTATTATAAGTTATATCTTTTGAGAAATGAAATGTTATAAAGATCTTACATGAAAGAAATGGACACAATTAAATTTTTGCAAGAATGAAAAACGGAGAAGAAAGTGTCATAAAGTTTTCCCGTCGGCCAATCGATATGTACCATGTAAACTCATCCGGAAAGAAAACCGAGTCTACTCATCCCTTATAAATAGGGGTCACGGCCAAACCATTGAATACACCGAAGCTCATTCTAAGACTCGAGCAAATTGGTAAGCCTCTTAACCCTCTTTGCAATGTTCTTTATGTTTTTCGTGTCTTTCAAAGCGTTTTTCGTCGAAAAATCTCTGATTTGAACAAATAATCCAACATTAGTTGAGAAATCAATGAATTAATGTCTTTCGTCATATGTTCAAGCCATAAGAAGAACTAAAGCTCCAAATCCTATTGAAGGACCCGGTGAAATCAAAGAGAAGTCATCCAAGTTCATCCTAAAGTTTCAAGATATTCTTTATGTTTTTCATCAAAAACATCAACCAGGTCCTCTTTGATTGAGCTTATACAAATTCAACATCCTTTAATTCTTTTTCACCTATTTAATAAGATATATGTTTTTGTCTGACATCGATGTCGTGGTAGAATATTATATTATTATTGTTGTTATTATTAGACAAAATTGTCTATAACTCCCATGTGGTTTCAAAACTCAGTGTAAATCTTTTATATATTTTAAAAATTGCATGGCGTCTCCTTATACTTTTAAAAATATTGCATGAAACCCCTTTTTACATTTTTTGTGTGTGAGAAAATTGTTTTCTATCTATATTTTTTTTTCATGGTGGAGGTTTCATGCAACATTTTCTGAACTATAAAAGGTTGGTGGTGTCATGCAATTTTCAAAGTACATGAGGGATTTACGCTAAATTTCGAAATCACAAGAGAGTTTGTGAATAATTTTGCCTTATTATTATTGTTGTTGAAATGTAATTGGGATTTAGCGGTCCACCCGACCCAAAACCAAACTGAAAAGACTATTTGAATTAGGAGAGTTCCTTTTGGGGCCGAAAAGGCTATTTCAATTGGCAGAGTTCTTTTTGGGCCTATTCTAATTAATAACAAATGGACTTAGGGTTTAGGGTGTTTTTGGGGTGCTTATAAATAGATAGCTATGGTTCATAGCCGTAGACAATGATTGTAACTCTCTGAATCAGTATAATAAAATCTCTTCGGTTCCTGCCCGTGGATGTAGATTGACACACCGTCACCGAACCACGTAAAACTTATGTAGTCTTTATTTTCTTTCTTTCTCGTTTTCTTATAACAAGTGGTATCAGAGCCATATCTGATTGATTGAAGTTTCCTCGTATAAGTTTGATCTGGAGAAGTCTAATGGGCCGAATGACTTCACGCTCTGGAAGGTCAAGATGAGGACACTTCTGGTTCAATAGGGATGTGCGGCTGCATTGGAGGGAGAAGACAAGTTTCCTAAAGACACGAAGGAGAA